ACAGAGTCCAGCAGAGGGCAATGAAAATGATTAGGGGGGCTGGGGCACATGACTTATGATGAGGGCCTGAGGGAACTGGCTTATGTAGGCCGGCAGAAGAGAAGAGTGAGGGGGAATTTGACAGCAGCCTTCAACTACCTGAAGGGGGGTTCCAAAGAGGATGGAGCTCAACTGTTCTCAGTGGTGGCAGATGACAGAACAAGGAGCAATGGTCTCAAGTTGAATTGTGGGAGGTCTAGATTGGATATCAGGAAAAACTATTTCACTAGGAGGGTGGTGAGGCACTGAAATGGGTTACCTAGGGAGATGGTGGAATCTCCATCATTAGAGGTTTTTAAGTGCGGCTTGACAACGCCCTGACTGGGATGATTTAGCTGGTGTTGGTCCTGCTTTGAGCAGGGGGTTGGACGAAATGACCTCCTGAGGTCTCTTCAAACCCTAATCTTCTATGATTCTATGATGATTTAAAACAAACTTTTTACAAAAACTTCTATACAAGAAAACATCTTTCTTTTTTTTTTCAAACTGAACAAAGGAGGGAAGGGTTTGATACCAAGCAGAAGTAAAGAAGTGTGGCAAAGATAGCTAGGATATGTCAGAGACAAACAAACATACAAGGGATAAGGAAGAAAATTTCCTCAAAGGTTCTTAATGACCTCATTTATGATATCACCAGCATCCTAAGATAGAATTATTTCCTTGTATTACTGCTGTTCTCTAAGAACATAACATAAGAATGGCCATACTGGGTCAAACCAAAGGTCCATCTAGCCCAGTATCCTGTCTTCCGACAGTGGCCAATGTCAGGTGCTTCATATGGAATCATCAAGTGATCCATCTCCTTTCAGCCATTTCCACCTTCTGGCAAACAGAGACTAGGGACACCATCCCTGCCCATCCTCACTAATAGCCATTGGTAGACCTATCCTCCATTAATTTATATAATTCTTTTTTAAATCCTATTAGTGTCTTGGCCTTCACGTCATCTATTATTTCTTATATTGTATGATCTGATTGTCTCTTGGCTGCTGTACTTGTTAGTCATCTCCACCCGATGACAATATTCCTTTATGTAGATACGTTCTCCATGTAACTGGCATAGCAGTGCTAGAAGAGTCATACTTTATATCAAAGGTACATTTATAAAGGGTTAATAAATGGTAAATCATTTGTTATCGTCCAATAGGTTGCTTATGACACTTTGCACTTATGTGCCTATAACCATCTGGAACTCGTATTATTCATGTTTGTTCCATGCGTAATAACAAACATTAATAATTTATTAGCCCTTTATCAACTACTTATAAATGTACCTTTAAGATAAAAGTATGACCAAAAGAACCTTTCTAAAAAGCAAAATTCCCCAATCAGGGAGATCATTAGACCAATCTCCCCATTGCCTGGAGATTTTCAGAGAACTCATTTTAAATCCTCCCCTTGCCTGACTCAAATATGGGAACTGAATTAAATAGTGATTGAGGAGCAACAGTGACACAAAGAAATATGGTCAATGTTAATCAAATAACTAGTTCTACTTTTAGGGGCTAGACAAACTGCACATATTCTAAGTAGAACCAAAATTTTTTTTCAGCAAGAAATGCAGATTCAGAGACACCGAAACATTTCTTGAATTAATGTCAATTACCTCAAATTGTTTCAATTACCTCCCTCAAAATTCAGACCATGTAGAAATGCTTGATTTCAACATTTTCTAAATGAAACATTTTGATTTTTCAATTCAAAACAACTTTTAGTATAGAAATTTTCTTTTATTTTTTAAAAAATTAAATGTTAAAAACTACTCAAAATTGAATAAAATGTTTTATTTCAGGTTGAATAAAACATTTCATTTGATTCAAAATAAATTTTTTTCCTCATCTTTTCTATTCGCTAAAAATGTAAAAAATATTGTTTTTAAGTCCATCTGAAACAAACATTTTTTCAAATTTTGTTTCAATTTTGTGGCGTTGCCAAAAAATAAAAAATTCTGCTATTTGCCCAGTTCCAGTTCTAAGGACAAGGGCCCTTGCTTCAGATAGTAAACAGACACTCATTCTTTAGTTGCCCATCAGCTGAGTGTATGCAAACTATCACCCTAACAAGGAGCAACACTATTAGTTATACTGTGCTGGAAGAACAAGGTCAAATGCCTACAGGGAAAGCTTTTTTCTACCGTGGATTATCCTAGAGAATGTGTTCTCAGAATTGTGTTTCTCATGTAAGGTCATGTAACTTTGCCATGGAAGGCTCCGTGCAACCATGTTTACCTTCAGAGTTTAAATTCCCAAAGGGCTGCAGCTTTATCATGCTGCACGCATGATACGGCGATTAAAATGAAGTGATAAACTCGACGTGTGTTTGTGAGAAGAATGTGCCATATCATAAAATAGCAGTAGCATATACAAGGTAACTGTTGCACAGGACATCCACAAATCATGTATCATATTTCTTTCACCTCACTAATATTCAAGAAAATGTGACATGAAACATGTCTGGAATGAAAGCTGAAATGCTGTGGTATTCTCTCAGACCGGATATTCAACAAAGGTTAACACTCCGTGAATCACCTATAAACTGGGTATTGTTTAGCCTCATTTGAATGAAAAATTATGAAATATTGCTAATTTTTAAATCTAATAATTAGAACTATTGACAAAGCTGCAAAACTTGACCACTTATTTTTAAACCAGAAAACACAAAGGATCAATCTGGGGCCTAATCCTGCTAGTTCTTACTCACTCAAATAATCCCTATTAACAAATCCTACTGATTTGAATGGGACAGCTAACATGAGGGTTCACACAATCATGTCCTTACCTCCATGTCTCCCTTTCCAAAAACTATAAATGTTAAACAGAATGTTAGCAAACCAATGTGATATCTCCGCTCGTGAACTCACATAAAAGAATCCCAGGGGCCCAGATATATATGGCATTTTCATTCCCAGCAGATACTTGACTTGTGAAGTCACAACATGCGTAGCTGCTCCTGTTGTCATTGCGCTTATCACCGGTTCCGTCAACAAGAACGTGGCGCTGCCCAAGTGCAGCACAAACATTGCTACCTAAGAAACCAAAGATATATATCAGTGATTACATTAAAATGCAGGTTTCCCAGTGTTAATGCAATGAGAGATACCCTTTTAATAAACCAGGAGATAAATGGCTATGTTAGCAAATCAAAAGGAGCAGTTTCAGATGCATGCTGTGAAATATGAATATAGCTTAAAGTGAAACACATGAAATCTTTTTGTAAGTTTATTTTATACTGTCTCACTAACACAACTAGTTTACCAGGCTCTAAAATGAGATTAGTTATAACAGCTGGGTCAGTCAAAGTATGGTCACACAATGACTTCTCTAAATATTGACTCTACTTGTTATTCTCCCCTGTTCAAATATATGAACACAGTGAACAATGTAAAAATCATCTACTCATCAGGGCAGCATCAAGTCAGAGAATTCACATTCACAATACAGTATTTGATTAAAGTATCTGAAATCACAAATGACTAAGAGCCAGATCTCTGGGCCCAGAGAAAGTTGGCTCTAAGTCACCGTTCGACTCTACTGATATTCGGCTTGAATAGGCTGAGGGCTACAATAAGTTTTGACAGCTAACCTATCCCCAGCTACACCATCTTAATACCACTTGGGGACTCCTCTTATGTCAGGAGAATCTCCAGCTCTCATGGCTCCATCCCTTTTGCACTGAGTGGCACAAAGGAAATGTAGCTGGGAACTGGTTCTAAGACACTGGAGCATCCATAGATGTTTTCTCCTTACAGAGAGACTTGGATGTCTATACACCTATTTGCTCCCCTTTGATATCCACAGGGAGTACCAAAATACATGTGCTGTAACTATCTGGAGAAAATCAACAAGCTACTGGTTGAAAGTTGCAATAAAATTTGAATGTGATAAAGATATTTAAAATCTACTTTTCTATGTTTAAACAGTGTATTTGGAAAATAGTTACGTCAGCTTAAAGAGGAATGAGACAGGACATTTTAAATTGAGAAAGTAAATGACAGTGGGACAAATGCTACTTCCAGTTACACTAGTGTAATCCTCTGCTAACAAACGTATATTGGATTCCACCAGTATAATTAGGAGCAGAATTTGGCCCAGCTGTTTTTGATTATGAAGATGATTTCATGTTTTTTAGAAACTTGTATAGAAACACAGGAATTGACATATTGAGACAGAACAATGACCTAGCTAATCCAGTATCCTGTTCACATCAGTTGCTGTCACACCAGATGCTTCAGAGGAATAAACCACCATCACCTCCAACTGTACAGAATCCTATAATACTATAACGTGATCAGTTTGATAGCCCTAGTAATTTTCTTCTAGCACTGAGTGTAACTATGGATGCTATTATTAATCATGTAATATCTAACCCTTTTCTGAATCATACTGAACTCTCTGCCTTAATTATATCCTGCTACAAACAGAAGGTTCCACACATTGTACGTTGGGTAAAAAAAGCATCCCCTTTTATCTGTTTTATTTTTTTTCCTTTACATTGTGTATGTCCACGTGTTTTTGAATTAGTGCACAGGTTAAAAAAAGAGATGACCAGCTGACCACCTCTTTACAATTTGTTATGATGCCTTTATCACTTCTCCTTTTTCATCTAATTAACGTTCATCTTTTAAAATGATCATAGTATAGAAACCCCACCATGCCTCTAATAACTTTCACTGCCTTTCTTTGGACAGTTTCTACTACAGTATGGAATTTGTCTATGGGACTGCCCAAAGCTGAGTCCAGTATTCAAAGTAAGTTATACCAGTGTAATACACTGACACTTTAATATTTTCCTTAGTACACTCTGTCCTTCTGTAAATACACCCTAACCGCTTATTAGCATGTCTCCCCATTCCTGCAGATACAGCAGACGTCCTAACTGAAGGGTATACAATGACACCTTGATCCTCTCCGTGAAAACTCTCAAGTCTGTTATGTATGAGTAGGTTACATTGATAATTTCTGTGAGGATTAATTTGTGCTTATCTATGTTGAATTTCATCCTTCTGGAGTTCCTTACAGGCTTCTTAGTAGTGACGAATCTTAAGCAAATACTTGCATATATTATTGCTCTTTGCACACAAGTATCATTTAATTTTTCACTATACATTTCACCTGCATACACAATTAGTAGTCATTGTACCAGTGCATCTGTATTGAAACTCCCAGAGTGGCTGGCTTTTAGTTTACCTGACAAATCTCTAGTGTATGCAGTGTTGTTGTAGCCGTGCTGGTCCCAGGATATTAGAGAAATAAGGTGGATGAGGTAATATCTTTTATTAGACCAACTTTTGTTGGTGAGAGACAAGCTTTTGAGCTTAGACAGAGCTCTTCTTCAGGTCTGAGAAGAAGAGCTCTGTGTAAGCTCAAAAGCTTGTCTCTCTCACCAACAGAAGTTGGTCCAACGAAAGATATTACCTCACCCACCTTATCTCTCTAAAGTTCTAGTGAGCACTCGTCCTACTTCATCTGAAATTATTTCTCTATACTGCCCTTAAATAGCTGGCAAATTGCTCAGTGCCATAGGAATTGAGAGCACTGCCACCCAATACTGAATCCTACTAAGGACAACTGCTGATAAACTTATGGTGAGTATTATTATTATTAATTTGTATTACTATAGTGCCTAGAAGCCCTAGTCAGAGACTAAGATCTGCTTGTGCTACGAGCTGCACAGACACAGCATACAAAGATTGTTCCTGACCCAAAGAGCTTATTAAAGAGCCTTCAGGATGGGGTCATTGGGTATATCAAAGGTCATCACTCCACATCCACTAGGAGGAGGGCTGCACTCTCTAAACAGGAACCAGAAGTGTACAAAATGAATAAAATAAATCCCTATGAAATTGCCCTTAAACTGATAAACTTTTGCTGTGAAAACTCCCCCAGTAAAGAATAAATACCTAAAAACCCAGCACCATCTCAGTGAAATTCAAAGGTCAAGCAGTCCCTTGGGAACCTACCCTTACTGAACACTATTGGGGAGGCTGAGGGATATGGCACTGGCAACCAAACACAGTGTAATTCTGCTGGAGAATATAGTCAGTTATTAATGATTATTTATTATTTATATTACAGTAGCAACCAAAGACCCCAAACAGAGATTAGGGCCCCATTTATATTAAGCACTGTACAACAGAACCCTGTGCCAAAGATACCATGAGTTGGAAACATGTCATCATATATAGTTTTACAGAAATGAAATAATTACTGGCAAATATATATCTTGCAAAGAACACAGGAAATAGAAGAGTGCTATTGTCTATGCATGCATAAGAAATAAAACAGCACTTGGAAAACCAATACTTTAAAACAAAAAAAGCCACATTCCCTTCTTTCACAAAAATTAAGACAGCAATAGGAAAGGACAAGTTTGGCCTCTCAAGCCCAAAATTAGTAATTACCATTTCATAACATTTTGGTTGGCTGTTAACATTGATGCTTATCAGAATTCTCAAAACAATGTTCACAGTACCAAGGTTCAATAAGAAAGATAATCTCTGTCCAATAGTGAAGTTTTCTTTTGTTTGTTTTTTAAATCATCTTATGTTCTAAGTGCAACAAATCTTTTTAAAAATGCAGTGTAGTTTAGCCTCCATTGAATCAGGATGGACATTTATACAACAGTATATTCTTGGCAACAAGGTCACATGGACAACTATGGAGGAAGAAGTACATAAACATTACAAAAAATTGCTATTTGGTATGTGAGAGGTAAATTATGGGAAATTTTGTCATGTTTGTAGAAGATTGACACATGCTCTACATACTTTGCGTTTGACAAGGTTAAACCACTATTCATCTTCTTAGATCCAACTAGTTTGCTGATGCTGGGAACTGTAGTACCACAGCCATCTGAAGTTCTCTGAGATTTTCACTTAAAACCTACAGAATTTTTCAGACTGTTATTATTAATTTATTATTATTATTTGTATTATTTGTATTATAATGGTACTTAGAAGCCCTAGTCATGCTTCAGGACCCCATTGTGTTAGATGCTGTACAGACACAGAACAAAAGGACAGTCCCTGACCAAAAGAGCTTACTACCTATATAGACAAGACCAAAGACTTTCTATCACAAGCACTATGAAATAGGTCACTTTGAAAACATATTGTTTGGGGTACATTTAAATGAGGCTAGATGTGAAACACTGCAAAACTATTAATATGGCCAGTTTAACATTTATGCAGCCGTTCAAATAATTCAATAGTACCCAGAAGACTTATAAACAAATCTGGATTTGGTCTCCCATTGAAAAATTAACCTCTGACTTTCCTTAAGTAAGATGCAAGACCTTATCACTATACATATATTTGTACTGCAGTTAAAGAAGAACCATGTGCCCACACATCCTCCATGAAACTACTACAAAATAGGAAAGATTGGGAAACAAAAAGGAACATTCCAAGAATAAATGGGTAGGGGAAATCTCTGATGTCCTTCCAGCATGTGAAACAGAAACTACTTACATGGACAATGAACAAAGATCCATCTAAGGAAAGAAGAAATAAGGAGAATGTTTTGAAAAAGTTCCTGGATTTTAGTTGGGTGTTCATGTTTCTGAGAAATCTGCCTAATAATATCAATATTTATATAGTTCCAGATAGACTCTCAAGTTAACACCTCATTGTGGTGAATGGACATATTGTCCACATCTTGGTGGCTCCTGCTGCTGGTTGGTTGGAGGCAGCTTGGGGAAAGGCTGAGCTACCAGAACAAAATTCCATCAGTTTATATTACCAAAACTATTTTTCTAAAGCAATAAACAAAAATAAAAAAGTAAAAGAACACTGTTAACCTGAAATGTAGTCAATTCCCTAAAGTAAGTTTTAAAATAGTTTCAGATACTACACCCGGCCTGGCATTCCTTTGCTGATTTTTGAGTATTTGCAGTCACAGTTTCCTGCATTTCTTAATTCTGTTTCTTCCCTGTCAATATAAGAAAGACCAACGCAAACAGGAGGATTAATTACCCGAATGAACAGTTAAAACAGTGCAACTAATAATACATAAAATGATGTCAAAT